GTACTTGCAACTAAAGACTGCAACACGTTAATCTAAATCGGAATTATTCAATTTGGCGATGGACGGCTGTAATTCACCGTTTATGAGCGCTGCCACATAAAATAAAACCTACATCTTTGAAATCGACTGACGCAGTCAGGCTATAACTTCTGACTGCGTCTGCTTAAACTTGCAGATGACTAAGAGTAGACTGGTGACGATGATGATATTAGTCTCTAATTAATCTGAGTGGAATTGGGACCTAGGCCAATTCGAGGAAGGACGAGGAAGCAATGTTGCACCACCCTTGCCACTTTCAGTGTTGAAAAACTGGCATCTCTGTACTTAAGGCGAGTTGTTAACATGTAGGTGGGCGAGTTGTAATCTCCCTCTGACACTTCCTCCTCAATAAATCCACGGCAACCGCTACCAGACTTGGGATATCCGGAGCAAAATGCCAGTCACTCATTCGGTTAAATCTTACTTTAAAAAAATTGATTTGATACAGGGTGTTCTATGCGCAACTGCAAATAACAAGTGGCAGGTTCACACCATTTCGTGATTTGTGGCTAGTCTTGATGAACCTGCTGTAATTCCCTAGCCAGATTTTAAACTGTCGTTTTATGTTGTTTTTTTTTTATATTTAAAGGAGGGGGTTGTCTGTTTCTTGTAGTTGAACTGAACGGTCTGAATTCAAGTTTTTTTTCGAGTGTGAAAGAATTAACTTTTTTAGTTCTTAGTCTGCATAGAACATTTCTGTTTTGTGAGACGTGCTCTTACAATAATTCCTGGCAGAAGCCTCTCTCTTTTTTTGTTGTGTTATGTGTTTGGAGCTGTTTTTTTTGTTCTATCTGAAACATCGTATATAGAAACCTCTGCACATGATTTAACCTCCAAAGATGCTGCCGTTCTTGTTAATCAATCCATAACATAAAACACAAGACAAGGCTACACGAAACGCCCATGGACACCTGGGCTCCACATGGGCATCATACAAGCAGTCAATTTTCAGCTACTGATTCTCAGCCTAAATCTCCCCAGGTGTAACATCACTGAGGTATAGATTCGCGACTCCAGACGCTAGTCTCTCAGTTAGTACATGGAGACGGGAGGGTTGGCGGGAAAGTGCCGCCTGCCAAAATGTCGCCAGACGACGTCTGGTTTCCGACCCCCCCAAGACGACGTGTTCCGAGTCGGATAAGGCAGGTTTTCTAGGCAATCAGGTCTTGGAAGGGCTTTAAAAGGTCCACCCTATCTCTTACCTGGCTGCATAATCTACTGTTACATGTAGTGTAGCCGTGCATGGACCTATGTGTTCGGTATGTTTCGAAAAATTAATATATCCTTGCAGCTGAAAAAATGGCTTGAATAGAACAAGGTTCAGTTCGTGACCTCAAGCGGACTCGGCAGCAAAAAAACTATCCGAATTCACGAGGTCAGCAAAGGTCTCATTTTGATGACGTTAACGGTTACCTTTAAGAACCTGCGTCGGGTTTAAATTCCCTTGGGGCATGAGCTGGGCTCCAAAGGCGACAATATCATTGCCCTTTATCTTATCTCTAAGTTGATCGCGAGATGTCCCAAATGCTATCTTCCTGAAAGGACTGACACTCCCGGTAGCTCACACTTTAATAATCGTCCCTGGCATAACAAGACATCATTCAGTTTAAAGTACAACTGTGTGTATGATTCATGGCGACCAACATGCACGTATACCCTACGCTTTAGGTCCAATAGGATCGAGAGTTCTGTTTATCGTCACAATAGTGCTCCCTTTGAACAAGTTCTACCTCAGCAGTCATTAGGGTAGAAAGTGTGTGATTTTAGAAACATTATCCGGTGATCTCTCCCTTTAACAAGTCTGGAAGTAGGCCTAATTAAGGTTTTTTTACGCGAATTTTTCAATCACGGCCGGTAAATTTCTAATTCGACACGCATTGTTCGTTTTAAAATTTTCTTTGCACGAGTATGAGGGAGACTGTGGATTTTGCCAACAAGAGATATGTCTTGTTCAGTACTGAATCCTATGGTAAGTTTATAGCCAATCCTCTGGCACTGCCAAGTCGACAACGAGGTCTTTGACATTATCTGGCTATAATCAAACCTGTCAACGGGGGTTGTACCGAGACGGGATGCCCCAGGGAAGGGGGTACCAACCAATTAAATTCTCCCGCTTTAATTCGATCATTTGCCGGGAAAATATTTACAGGTATAAGACGAGCAAGATGAAAAACAAGGCGACGGTTGCTTTTTTGACCTGTTACTAAACATGCTTTGTGGCGAATTAGGACTCTTCAGGCATGGGGATGAGAAGTTTTATATATTCGAGCAGTCGGCTTTTTAACCATCTTCACAAAATCAAAAAAGGAAAAAGCTATTTGTTTTTACATTTTATTCGACAACCTAACCACTCCAAACGCAATTTCCCTGTGGAAATACATGTCTTCTGGCAATAAGGTAGAACAAAAATCTATCTCTATCTTTCTTTTATCTTGTACTTTATTTCACTTTTATGATAGCTTTGAAAACACCATACATGTTTAAACTTGTTGGTGATCTTAAAGTATCAATTCTTTGTTTGCCAAATGGACTAAAATGCCAACGACAAGGCTTCAGTGTTAACGCGCACCTTTCTTAGTTTAAACAATTATAAACATCACGAATGTTTCACTCAAGCAACAAGTAGACACACTCCAACATGTTGTAAGTAGCTGATGTTCTGATTTGCCTCTCTTCTGTGTCAATTTTGTTTGAAGCTGATTTTCAGGGCAAAGAAAGCTAACCCACAGGATGAAAGGGGCTTACAGTGGCGTCCAATTTGCTCAGACCATTTCAAGAGTTCCTACCTGTTAAGCATTGCTTCGGGAAGACAGGAAACTGTGTGTGGCTGGAAATTATAAATCACCGGGTAGAAAAATGACCCAACCCGAGGGACCGGCCTAAAAATAGAGTGACAGGTCGAACTGATGACCAGTAGTGGCTACTTGTTGAGTGGGATATTGCTAGCAAGGGAGTTAGCCCTCCAGGCTTCTCGCGTGATGCGGACGTTTAAGGATTTTATTACCTGGGTTGACTATTTGATGCAATTTTATGAGACAATATCATATGAAGCAATTTTACACACTTTAGAGGGTCTCGTACGTGTAATGTTGCCCTTTCCGGAACCCACTGAAAGGTATAGCAGATACAGAACCTGCTGTGTATATTCTCTTACATCTTCTCCGAGGATCGTAAATACAAGGAAAGATGAGAAAAGTGACAAGGATACAAACAAAAGCGCGCGCATACAATATTCAAGTATATGCTGCCTGAGGTATTTCACGGGTTAGCGTGGAATTTTGGCTTGTGCGCATGCGTACATCCCGTAACTAAGGATTCTGTGCGTATAGGGTTAGCGCATAACTTTTCTGCTCGCGCCGTTAGCGCAGAATGGAGATCGTAAGCGTGGAATTCTGCTGTAAGCAGCGGCATTAAATTGAGGCCAGGGTTTTACGCTCTGATCCAGGATTCTGTGTGGTGTGAAATGTCAGGTCATCTTTACGCGGCTGGTAGCATATTTCAGGTCATCTGAGTTATAAGCGCTTGGTAAGCAGTTTACAGTGGACTAGGAAAAAGTGGTGAACAGATTGCGTTCATGGAAAAAAAATAGTCAACCCACCAAAGCAACTTTTAAAATATGTACTAAAACAACCATTACGGTACAGTGTATAAAAAGTCCTGAAGTGATTTGAACACCTCACTGCCCAATAGGGTGTCAGTAAGGCCCTAAATTAAGTGGTGGGTAAGGTCCCTGTCACATCTGACATATGATTTCGTAAGTTAAGAACACATTTTCTGATTTCCAAAAGTGATGAATTAATGCAAAGTACCTGTCAAACAGATAATAATAGTTTGAGATCAATTCCATTGATATTTCCATGTCAAATACCAAAGGTCAGATGTAACATGGACACGAAAATGACACATTTTTACACCTATTTTCTAGAATTACACTAGTACATTTACTCCTGATGTTTTCTTCGGGCACTTTCTTGAATTGTCAAGCACCAGTTTTAATAACTGTTTTGAGCACACATTAGTCCATATAGTTGCTGGAGATTTCAGGAAATAATGTTCCTCAGCATGCACCGAGACGGTCAAAACTTCATTATCGACATGGAAGGGCGTTTCCTGCGCCCGACCGGCTGAACCCAGGGGAACTCAGGTCTACTAGAGCAACCCATTCCTTTTAGACTCGAGGAAGCTAGAACCAAATTGCATTTTCTCTAACATAAAAAAGTAAAGCGGTTCGAAAAAGCAAGAAATCAATTTTGCATCGCCGTGTTGTTCAGTCCAAGTTTTGAAACGTGAAGATCTTAATTCTACAGTTCCTTTGTACTCTTGTACAGAATGGCTTCCTTGGCTACATTACGCATGGTTGCTTTTATCACGTTCCCTTGAGAAATGTTTTATTTTTTGGGGGGTAAATTAAAGACAAGTGGCATTTGAATATGTATATAAAATGTTCGACAGCTTTGGCATTTGAATATGTATATAAAATGTTTGACAGTTTTGTCATTTGAATATGTATATAAAATGTTTGACAGCTTTGGCATTTGAATATGTATATGATATGTTTGACAGCTTTGGCATTTGAATATGTATACAATATGTTTAATTGACAGCTTTGGCATTTGAATATGTATATAAAATGTTTAATTGAAAGCTTTGGCATTTGAATATGTATATAAAGTGTTTAATTGACAGCTTTAAAAACTTACGATTTCAAAAAAGATTAATTTGAGGCAAGGCAAGTACTAGAGGAGACACCACACAACACTCACGAAGTATTTTCGAAGCACTTTTGAATCATGAAGGCCATTTAGGCGAGCCGTCTAGCCAGCATGGGAAAGGATATTCATGGGACTGTAACCGGCGTTTTTTGCCATGATCTTTACGCCTCGGCCTGAGCTCCATGAGCTCTTGGATCAGTGCAGTTTCTGTCGTCACTTCTAATGTTTATTTCCGCTCCTTCTCAGCAGTGCTGTATCATTGCACCTTCGAGTCCAACGAAGACTGCAGGCTGGAGCAGGATCCGAGCGATGAGTTTGATTGGGAGGTTCATCGCGGGATGGCTCCCTCCAACCACGCCCGATTTCACTCTCGCCGGTCGCGCCATCATCGCTCAGTCTGGAAGAGAGGCAGCCTCCGGTACGAAACGTACTCAGGCCCACTCAGCGTTTTCAGGGAGCTCTCCATCGAAGAACGGGAACTCCTTAACAACAATGTCTTCATTGACCTGTCACCGGATCCCTTCCCACACTGGCCTTTTGTTGACCACACTTACGGGAATGACTCAGGTGACAAGTGACGCCATAATTGCTTTCACATTTCTTCCATATAATACACCAGAGGTCCAACAGGTCCATTTTCTCAATGCTTCTTTCTCTAAAGGTCATTTTGCACACCTGGTGGCGAAAGATAACACCCAGACAAGCGGCCATGCCCGTATCATGTCGCCCGAGATAACGATGCCCGATTCCGTGGAGGCCGACCTGACTTTCTTCTACCATCTATGGAACTTCAAGGGGAGACCGTCGGCCGGCCGGCTGAAAGTCTTCGTCTGTGAGGGCCAGGATCTGGTCTTCACGGCTACGGCTAGCCTCGGCAGTGTATGGATGAAAGCTGAAGTGCGGATAAAATGCAACGGCACCTTTAGGGTGAGCTTTAGAAAAGATGAAGAAAATTAGTCCTTCCCACGCCTTTCCCGCACAGCCAGTTTGCCTTGAGCCGAATTTCTGGGGAAGACTGTTAAGAGTTCCCTGTGCGCACGTAGAGACAGTGTTTCTCCAGAATGTTCAGGAGCAGAATCCCCCAAGTCTCACCCATCACAAATAATTTCGCAGATAACTTGAAAAATCACTGCAAAATTTTACTTTTGGTCCCTTCCATGCAGCCAGTATGCCGTTGACAGTATTTTTTTAATTAAGTTTTATTTCATGATGTTGATCATAATTTGATACAGAATGCAATGGATGCCACAGTAACTCCAAAACGTAAATACATGTTGCCAACCTGAACATTGAGGCTTACTAAATACTGCCTATATATTGTGTACCATCAAGGCAGTGGTCATTCACAGAACAGTGAAGAGATTCACAAGATAACAAGGCAGAAATTGTGCTTGACACATTGGGATATATTGCCCGGGAAATGGGTTATTTATAGGGAAATGAAACCCGTCTCTACACTATCACACGAGGTCAACTTATTGTCCAATTTGACGCATGAAGATGCGATTACAGTTTCCTCGTTTGATGACTGACGTTTCATGCCTGAACGTCCAGGGCCGGCAAGCTCCTTTGAGAAGTAGAGCAGTAGAAAAAATCTTTGTTAAATTTAAGAGCAAATCGTGGGTTTAGTTAAAAACAACAACAGAGTTATCGGATGTTGTACTTGTGCACGTACTACAACCTTGACATCATCTCAAAGTTGGGGAAAGTTAGCCAACATAATCAGAATAAGATCTGAATATGGCATTTGGGATTTAGTAGAAAGTATATAGGCCTGGCGTACTTACTCATGCTTGATAGTTCATCTATTTAAAGGAGGGAATCGTGTTTGTTGAGAAAAAAGCGTCACGAGCTCCCATTAGCCCGTTAATAAGTCTGCTCTTCTGATTTTGTTGAACTTGGCGGTATAAGTGTCAGAGTTCAGGTAAGGCCTACATGATATTACAATTCTTATTTATATGTACACACCATAGATGCTGTAACACTTATCTCGAGAAAAAACCAATTAACAAGGCCTCACAACAATCTCTTCGTGTTTTCCTTTCTCCTATACGACCATTTCCTTCCCCATACTATTCCTGGATCGCGTATGGGCAGGACTTTTTATTGCTCGAATATTATCATTGATTGATTTCAGGGCCTCAGTTTTGGCAAATTTGATTTGCACGGGCTACTTCATCGCTCCTTTCGAATTTCTGAATGCGATCAATCACTTTCCCGAAGCGCATTAGGAGTCGAAATCTTACTTCCTACTGCAGTGAAATGCCAATTACTAAACAACAGTCCCTCCCTCCCTGACTGTAATTGTAAACGCGTGTTGGAAGTGAGACTGTAAAGCTAGCTTGCTTCCCTTTCTTGATTCGCACAGATAATATTTGAAGGTTTCATCGGAGGCAAAGACATAGAAATTGCAATAGACGACGTGAATGTTACCGTTAGTAATGGTAAGTTCCAAATGTTCTCTTCAGTGCACTTTTTTATATCCATGGCCTGTACCAAACCTTTCCTATATAAGGGCTTTTCGACATGAGGCACACCCGGCTCGAAATCGATTAATTATACATGTACCGTCTTTAATGGAAACTGTCAAACTGTTAACATGGCCCAATTTTTGTTTGAATCCTATCTTGATATCCAATGCTCACATTAAAAAAAAACAGTTCAGTCATATTGCATCATTTCAATGGTCCCTGTACAGGCTAGCCTTCATGTTCATGTGGATTAAAAATATTGCTGTGGAACAATGAACATATGCAACCGGTTTAAAATTGACGAGATTTTTCCAGTGCTGCTTGACACGCTCATTGAAGGAGGGGCCAATGCCAGAGTGTATATGCCTTGCGCTTTCAACTTCTTCTGCAATCTGAAGAAAACCACGCACTGGATATTATTAATGTTAAAAACAGAGAGTTTAGAATGCCGGTTAATATCGATAATCCCTTTTCCCGAAGCAGGCCAGCATTCTGTATAGTTATGGGTACAAAAATGATCTCGGTTCGCGCAGTTATAAATACAAAATATAAGAGATGCGTTTGGAGGTAGAGTTAGAGAACTTTGCGTTGCCTGTTTATCGTTCTTAAGACATGCTGCGTGTTTGTAGCAGAAAACATGAAAATATAATTCTGATCCCTGAAAACATGTTCTGCGAGTGGGCCGTAGGCGTGTTGGCAACTACGCATCCTCCATAACCTTAAAGATATGGGTCTGCAGGAGAACAAAATACGCAAACTCTATATTTAGTTAGGAATTCCGTTCAATATGTGTCTGTGCCTATGCCGGACATAAACTTGGGGACTGGTGACAGACATTTCCAGTATATAAGCTCTCTAATTTTAACTCTTGTTTTCGTCTTGGTGGCGCTGTTTGAGACGGGATGCACTCATTCGAGCTTGGGTTTTTGTAACTCTGAAACAGTTTCTGCTGGAAACTTTAAATCCCAAAGGGATTGAAAATGCCATTTACGAAGTATTTGGGTTTTTTTTGGGGGGGGGTCGATTTATGTCTGGCAAATAAAAATGTGTTACTGATCGGCCCAAAACAGGAACCCCCCCTACAGTGCAGCCGCACACGACGTGGAATACGGGTAACGAGTCCAACGCGACCACTACGAGCCTACCAACCACGATGACCTCTGCTGGTCCTAGCAATCCCGAGCCGGGGCCGGAGGGACCTGACACGGGTGTGGATCCAGAGACAGCTGGTATTTGGTCTATCCATACAAGAAATGCTTTTTAATCATCTTAAGGATTTTCTTGGTTCAAGCGTTTCGGGGGGTAGGGAAGGGCGGGGCAAAGTTAACCCCCACGTCGGGCTTGGAAGACAAAGTATACCAGTAACCTACTTCCATTTAGCAGATGAAATAGGAGGGCACTACTTGGTTTGGCGAAAGCTTCGATATTCATCACGCGATTAGTTTTTCCTTATTCTACTAACTTAAACCTCACACGTCTCTTGCCTCCGCCATTTCAGTGTCAGTACCGAGGGAAAGGGGAAGGTTGCCACCCCGAAACATAAACGGCACCACTGATCTGTACGTGGGGTGCTGTGATAATTTCCTACTGGTTAAAAAATTGACACTTTTAGCAGAAAGGTCACCCCCCCCACCAAAGTCCTGGATACGCCAATGCGTCATACAACTGAGAGGCTCGTTTGTATACCGTCACCAATGTAGAAAGAGTTGCACCGCACTGCCCCAATCACAGTATACTGAAGAGAAATTTGCTTTCTAATTTGACTGACTCCACACAAAAAAATGCATTGGGTTGTCGGTGACGCTGGCTTTGAAATGTTGGGGCAAGAAAACCAAACTGAGTGTTGTGATGACAATACCTCTCACTTTCTCTATCTCTACTCTACTAAGCAGAGGATAGTAATATATGTAAGTAACGTAAGTCCCCTCCTTTCTTTTACCGATAAAAGTAGTCAGCAAACTGAGAAAAAATAATTTGATTCATTGGACAATTTTCCGCATGAGCACTGACTGTGCAAAATCAAGACAGAGTTTAATATACAACCTTTAAACCGTTTGGTTTTATAACAGTTTCCTGACAAATTCTCCAGTCAGCTTGCCTTGTGCTTATCACCGATCATTGTTTGTTCTATTTGAAGACTCATGCTATCATAAGATATTCGAGTGTGAATGGCTCTCAATTTTTTTATTCTTCTATCCACTACCTAAGCCTTTATCTGTGATAGTTTGCGCAACTGTCTAAGTGGTGCTGGGTACCGATGTCTTTGATCCATAGCGTGATGTCCTCACACAACTGGCCGGCTTTAGTACTGCCTCGCCCCGTTGCCGCCGGCCACAACTCTTTGAAATGACTCCAGCCAGTGTTCGAACTGTGCAAATTAATTTCAAAAGGTGATTGAGCGCGAGAGTTGGGCAATATGTTGTGCCCCTGCCTCATGTTTGCAACCAAAATGTTTACTACACAGGAGTGGGGTGGAATGGACTGACTTTTTCAATGTTTAGTACGTTCTAGGTTCTAGACCATATGCCGAATCGTGGAAGCACTATTTGTTTGGCAAAGAAACTATCAGGAAAAACGAACACATTAGCTGTTCCATCAGTAATTCCAAAGTGGGAAGGCTGATATCCATTTCTTCTAAAAGAGTATGAGCTCATTTTCTAAATCATTTTTAGTCGCTTACACTTCTTATTGCGGAGACTTGCTTTCATCTACCTGTTATAAAAACTAACAACAATGCATGTTTAGGTAAACTGCCAACGACCCTGCGATTACGGTTTCTAATGACACGCGATATTGCAATGTATTTTGATGTACCCACTGCCTTGTGTATGCAACGGGAGTGGCCAAATCGAAGGTTCTTTCGAGAATACGATTTTTGCTGAGCAACGGCTTTCTCTGTATCTGTTCCATGCAGTGAGCCTGGTCGTCATTGCACTGGTTCTATTTGCGGCTACGTGCTTCATGCTGCTAGTGACCCTGATGATTCACATCCGCTTCAGATCCAAGAGAAGGCAAGCATCGATACAAAACTACAGCGAAAGTTGATATCTAAATATACTTCGCACGTTCTGCTAGCTAGAAGGTCAACCTATACAGATGATATTGACCCCCTCTTCCTCCAAGCAGGCTAATGGTTGGCCACATGAAGCTATTTATTTATAAGGCAAACAACGAAATGATGAAGTAAAAGATGATCGCTTAAGGAAATGTTACTTTCGAGACGGGGGCAGAAACAGGAAGACGATGGCTAAGGGAAACCCAACAAAAAAACTAAAAACAACAAATTAATCAATTCCAAATGTTTTGGGGTGAAACCCCACCTAGGTTTGCAAGTTGTGAATGGTGAAAAAAATGCCCCCATATCGACCCAGCAACTGCAGATCAAAATGATTTTTATCAAATTATATGTAAATCACATTTTACTACTCATTTACAGGAGACGGGGACGGTTTCATGAGCCTTTCACATTTGGGTCAGAGTTCTTCAACCGCCATTCCATGGATCCCAGCGAAGCTACGGCCTACATGACCCTGAACTTCCCCCCTAGTTCCACCTCTGGTTCGGGGCTAGAGTTCCTCTCAATGTCCGAACGTCGCTCCTGCGACGCAAGGGACTCAAAACGGTCAAAACCTTCCGACGGCGCACAATCCAAGCGCTCGTCAGGGCTACATGCCTCAGCCGAGAGCATCCGCCGAAGCGCGTATACTAGGCGCTCCACCGGGGGCCAACGCCGCCAGAGCCGGACCTTCCCTGTCTCTAAGGAGCTAAAGAATCTACTGGAGAGTGTGCAGATGCGCAGGTTCCGGACGCTGAGCCAGCACATGTCGGTGGCAGATGTAGAGACTCTACGACGTACGCTCAGTAGTCAAGGCGAAACCGCCCCAAACAGCGACCGGACTGTGTCGACCGTTCTACTAGACGCCACCGCGTCCTCCCTGAGAAAGATGAGCGACATGTCTGATCATTTTTACTATAGCCTGTTTCCGACAGTAGGTATTGTCAGCTGCAAGAACTCGCTGGTGGCCTCCGAGGACTCCGACCAAATTATTGAACTGAAGGACAGAAGGCCCGCCTCAGGTGAATATGACTCTGATGATCTTGAAGTACAGGCAGTAACTAGTGGCTCCTTGCTCATTAAGTCCGAGAGTCAGAGCGAATCTGAGAGTGACCGATCGGTGGCACCGGAGACAACCCAGATGGTGGACAATGAGATCTATGAATGTTTTACCAACTCTGACGCATCTAGCTCAGGAACGGTACAATAGCCAAACATCTGACACCGAACCCTCTAGTTTAACGATTCTCTATAGAGTTCCCACCTGCATAAGGTCATTGTGAAAGAAACATGTCCATCACAATATGCTTCGGACACCCACGGCAAGGTTAAGTTCAAAGAACACTTAGAAATTCACCGGCACTGCAGGATTTTACTTGGATTTTAATCTGAGTACTGCAGAAACCCGTGGTCCAATCACTTTCTTGTTGGTTAGTGAGAACTGAGGCGCATTTCCAGTGGCTCTTTGAAGGGTTAATTTTAAAAAGAGATTGCACTGACAGGCAACGGTTGGTTGCCGTGAATGGATTCTTGTAATAAAGCGTTTCACTTAAGTGTTAACAGAGCGATCCCTCAGTGGCATTGAGTTTTTGGAATGTTGTTTCCCTATTTACCCAAATTCGCAAAGTGGGTGAAGAATGAAAGGTGGAAAGATATCACACCGAAATGGCTGCTCGATACTATGGACCTTTTTCACCCATTTGACTGACTGTAAACAATACCACCACTTGTACACTGCCTTGGCCACGGTGATCGTATATATTCCTACGGGCAGCTTCAACCACGTGCATGCGCACGTGCGAACGCTGCATGCTTGACTAGGTTATCTTGAATAGGTAGATTACCATCACAACACAATGCACTCATTACCATCACGACAGATCATAGGTCCAGCACGATCGTGACATCACAGAAAAAAAGTCTATAACTTATACACATAAAGTAACATGCTTTCATGAAATTTAAATATAGAGAACATTGCATTAATTGGTCAACAAGATCGGAAGCAAGTAACATGTTTACTTAACGATTAATGCTCTACTTTGAAACGTTATCAACTCTGTTGCTGATTGAGGGTTGAAAGAATGAAGACATGTATTTGTTTTCCGTCCATCCAATACACCTATCTCGCACAAAGATATTAAAGAATAAACCCAGAAGAAACCATTACAAGTAGTTTTTTATTTGGAAAGAAAACAGATTTTCAGTTTATAATTGATGCTTTTCAGACGAATTAACATATTGTACATATTTAATGGTACAAAGGTTATTTTTTAACAATGAGCAAATATTTCGGGAACAAGCTTCATACTCTTTCATTTTCTAATTTGAAACACCAGCTGAAGGTCGCCTCGTTATGTTTTGTAAATAAAATAGCAAGATTTAAATGACTGGTTCTAGTAGCTTTGTGGATGTGGGCAGATTATTTGGAACTGCTGAACGTCAATATAATTCTACGAAATTATTTCTAGCCATAAAGGCTATAACATCGGGTTTACATCAAGTCAGCTGGGGTTGTTGGCATTGTCCACCATCTTGCACATTCTTGCTCCTGTGCAAAGTGACGTGTTTTAGCGTCTGTCAGGTCCTTTGTTGGAGATTGAGTTGATTTCGATATCGCGAGAAAAAAAGGTTAGCAGCACATATGATGCGATGCAATTGCAGTCATGATCGCACGCCAATACTGAAACTAGGCACAGTTTAATATAGCAAGGCAGCGATTCCTGAATAAGACATCCTATAAACACCAAGTCACTCAAAGACGCTTCAATGGATATTACAGAAAAATATTGCACGAAGGCAATTTTTCTAGGCTTGTTTAATTGTTTAATGACATTGGGTATAAAGGTCCACCGTTGAGTGTATTTCGCTGCAAATTACGTAGTTACGTAGTTCAGTGTTTTTACTTGACAATGACCTCAATCTGGTTTAAAGGTCTAATCTTACTGATAAACAGTTGTGTGCAGTATTAAACACATTACAAATTGAAACCCTATTCGTATGCAAATTTGAAAATGTCGACGTTTACCCCTTTCTTTATTTTAGTGAAAGGCAATGTCCACTCGAATATCAATTTTGTCAAAATCGTTCCAACTAATAATGGTTAATGATTCGTTTTCGTCAATTCGAACCAGAAATCTAAAGAAGCTGCACGGTTCGAGCGTCGATGAAGGGTGTGTGATCACTGGATATTGACCAACCGCCGCAGAATCAAAAAGCCAACATGTGATGGACGTTATGGAAGAATACAGACGGGACATCGACAAAACGCTATGTCACACGAGATGGCGCTGTTTACCGCTATGTGTTCATTTCACGACCCATTTCCCACGAGCAACAAGCGATTACCAAAATGCAAAACGTTGCTCTTGCCTGGACTCGTTGTCAATTATACCGTCACACACGTTTGAACGACAGAAGTGTGTTTGTTTCTTGTTCTCTCTTTTTTTTTCAATAAAAGGTATGCCGCAATAGACCGTGTCTTGTAGAGTAGTTTGCGCTTTGTTTGCAGGAGACAGCCGTTTCCCCCCACCCCTTAGTTGAGTAATTATCAACCTGTCCCTGAATGTTGACCGTGATTTCACAACATCAGTTAACACTGGGATTTCGACCAACATTTGCAAAGGTTCATTGACACCTACACGCTTATTAATTAAATATTTACTGGACCCTGGTAACATATACGAGTACTTTCACAGGGGGCGCAAACAACATATGTATGTCTGTGCGGTTAACAACGTAAATCACAAGGGAAATGGTTCGAGCTAGACTTGAAATCAAGTCGTTAGTAGTGTTTGTCGTCCAGAACAACCGATATGAGCCAGCATGCTTCGGCCTTTGAAAATCAGTCATGAGCCTGTTCACCGTCGCCCGCGATCCATCCTGCTTGCCGCGCTGATTCGGCAAGGATACGATGCGTGGTCGTGGGCTGTTCAGTATGATGTACTATTTACGAAACACATTTCTGCCTCTTTCTAGCCTCTTCCAAGGCGACCCAACGGCATGACGGCTACCTTGACTCGTGCCGTCCCCGTCGCGCCGTTCCCTTCTTGCCATTATGTTTGCAGGCACACAACGCGTCGCGTCGTGCGTCGCGTCGTGCTGTCTTACGTCCATTCCTTGTTGCATAATTCTGCCTCAACGTCGCTTCTCAATATCCCTTTTAATGTGACGCTGACAAAGTACACAGAACTATTCAAGAACAAATCTATTAACTATCTTGTTTGGTAAAAGAACCGGTGCTTTTATCTTGTTAAAATAATGTAAACACCCTCTTCAATGAACGAGACTCTGGGTGTTGGTAATACACATTCAACTGGCCAATCAAACTGCCACTATAAATAATTATTCATATTATAGGGATTCTTCGCCAATCAGAGAGTTCCGTCTAATTTTTGGTAGCAGGCCCCATATGTTGTGCATATTGTGTTATGCAGATTGCTCAAGTCAGTAATTGGGCACTGCCGAACACGTATTGACTGCACGCGTATCCGCACTGCGTACACGTCGCGAGGAAGGTGGACTCCACCCGGCCAAATGCCGACTTGATTTCAAGTCTACGTCCGAGGCAAAGAACCTCTCGGCAGTTTTCTTATTCTCCATACAAATTGACAGTGGTTGCAATTTTACAAATATTCGACAGATGGAAGTGAAATACACATTATATACGTTATTGTACACAAGGGCGGATCTAAGAAAGCAAACGGGGGCCATGCCCCCCAAAACGATCCCATTTTTCCACTTTCCAATAATCGTAAAGGACAAAAGGCGATTTTTTGGCGAATTCCTTTTCTTTCCAAAAGTGTAAAAGTCCCAGAATGTAGCCTAACCCTTCAGAAAGGCCATAAAAATGACATGTTACACCTGAAAATTGATTTTGCTTCTTGATCCGCCCTCAAAATAACCAGCTTCTTACTAGCAATAAACTTTGAAAGCTTACACTTAAAATTACCAACAAATGCCAAAACAGAAAGGTTCGAAAAGGCGTTAGGTAGTCCACATTGAAAGAACCGCCAATGGTGACTTTCAGAAACAAGTTTTAGCTGTTCTGATTTTGTTTTATTTCAGTTTCAAGGAAACTCGGTTCATTATTGGCAAGAGCGGACCTACGCCCTGCGCTAACCTCTTGAACCTTTCAGCTAGCAAAAGAAGTATCTTACCTTCATTGCTGGTCTTGTTCATATAATCCTCGCCACAGTAGTAGGGGTCACTGAACACTGGATCACGCTGTTTCTGTCTCTCCATCAGATGCCAGGGCCCAACCGTCCACCATGCTGTCTCGTGAACCCAGTCGTTCAAATCTAAGATCTATCCCAGGAACGTTGTCCTTTAGGTCGATCTTATCCAGATAATGTTAGTCTCTTTTGTGCTGAGGACAACCAGTGACTTTGTGATTACTCTTACCGAAAAAGCGTTCATGGTGGTTGATCTTTTTTCCACTAGGAAGTCCTTTTTGCAGGACTCTCTCATCCATGTCTTCAGACTTTAGTGATTCCTCCCGTAGCACTACTGCACTTGAATTAGACCTGCCAGTTGATTTTCAGCTTGTCAGCCAGGTCGCGTAATTTCAACTGACCTGCCTGAGTTTATGATTGTGCCTTGACCAGCTAAGTTTTGAGTTTCAAGCGAACATTAAATAGCATAATCCATAACATCCATGTTGCCAAGACGTCCGTGGTTAGTGAAATAATTTGACACGCGACGTGCTTCGGTTCAGAACTAACGTTACTCTTAGAAGTGCACAATACTTTGGTATCATGATTGGGAGAAAATGTCTCACACAGCCACGTAACAACCACTGATAGAGCATTTGTGACTGACGTGAAAGCTAAATGCGGGTATAAGAGAACACCTGCAGATCATTTTGCTACATAAACGAGGCAAAAGTCTTGTGTTCCCCAGCTCACATAATAGGCGATAACAGAACAAAGACACCAGGAAATTCCAGAGCTCGAGATTTCCACACATTTCGGATTCCAGGCTTTCTTTAGAGTTGACGGTGAATGCGTGTTGCCCCCCCCCCACTCTCCAGACAAAAGATCATTTCATTAGATCAGATACTTTGGGACACGCGCGTTCTGCGGGTGTCTCTCACACAATAGGTGAGAACAAGACAAAGACGCAAGTACGCTCTACAGTTTCGGCGTTATAGACACTCCAGATTTGTATAGCTTTTATTCTTGTTCCTTATTTTCAGACAGAAGAAAACTATGTTAAATCATGCAATCAGAGCAAATTAAAACAGATTCTTCACACAGAGGGCGAGAACGAGACTATATCTAAAATTATCTAGAGTTGACAGTTGCGGTTTATTTTGAGGAGCCAGTGTATTTTGAGCAGGGGGAATTCTAATGCAAATTCAAAAGGTTGAAAAGGTAATTTAGCAACACAAATCTAAGATATTTAGCCTTTTCAATTTAAAGCGGATGGGTATAATTACAGTCGATGCTGACGTGGAAAATAGCCTCAGTTCTCTTAGGTGTGATATCGTCGTTGGTAGATCGAACTGGCACCCTGTGGCTGATTATCATGCTCTTCTTGGTATGAGCCACGAGCTGGACCA